ATTAAAAAAAAAAAAAAAAAGCCCAGCCAGCGTGGCTCAGTGGTTGATCTAGGAGATCATGGTTTGATTCCCAGTTCAAGGCACATGCCTGGGTTGCAGGCTTGATCCCCAGTAGAGGGCATGCAGGCGGCAGCCAATCAATGACTCTCTCATCATTGATGTTTCTGTCTCTTTCTCTCTCCCTTCCTCTCTCTGAAATAATCAATAAAGATAGATATATATATATATATTTTTTAAATGGCAAAGAGGACACAGAGAGAACCTTAGCCCTGGCCTGGTGGCTCAGTTGGTTGGAGCACTGTCCTATACACCAAAAAGGTTGTGGGTTTGATTTCCAGTCAGGGCACATACCTAGGTTGTGGGTTCCATCCCTGGTTAGGGGAGGCAACCCATCAGTGCTCCTCTCTCACAATGATGCTTCTCTCTCTCTCTAAAAAAAAAAAAAAAAATTTAATTTAAAATACTTAAAAAACCCAAAACACTAACCAAGATTTGGAAGCAGCCCAACTTCCCATCAGTAGATGAGTGGATAAAAAAAAACACCTGTGGTACATTTACACAATCAATGGAATACCACTCGCCGTAAAAAAAAAAAAAAAGGAAAGCGTGCCTTTTGCAACAGCATGGATGGACATGGAAAGTATTATGCTAAATAACATAAGCCAGTCAGAGAAAGACAAGTACCATATTTTACTTACACAGGGAATCTAATTAACAAAATAAACTTATAAAGAAAATAGAAACAGACTCATAGATACAGAGAACAGACTGACAGCTGTCAGTGGGGAGAGGGTTGGCAGGCTGGGTGAAAAAGGTGAAGGGATTAAGCAAAAACAAACAAAAAACCTCATAGATACAGATTACCAGAGGGAATGGTGGGGTGGGGAGAGGTAGAAAAGGTAAAGGGGAGATAAATGGTGACGGAAGGAGGCTTGACTTGGAGTGGTCAACACACAATACAATATACAGATGATGTATTACAGAGTTGTACACTTGAAAACTATATAATTTTACTAACCAATGTTACCCCAGTAAGTTCAATAAAAATATAAAAAATAAAAATTTCAAAACAAGCTGTTTGGCTTACTCAGTGTGCAAACACCTAGGACCTTCGTGTAACCTTTACCCTAAAGTGCCCTGTGTGTCTTAAATCCTACTCATTTTCTCCTTTTTCCGTCTACCCCTATCAAAACTTCTTTTCTCTCAGAGAAGGTGGGTTGGGCACCACTTAGTAAAATCTCTTAAAATAATCAATAGTAAGGTGATACATCAATGATCAGGTAGTAGACATCTCTCTTAGAGACCTGTTTTATGACAGAAAGCTTAAAATCTCAAATTAATCTCTAACTGGTAGCAAAACAACTGAAAAGTGAAAAATAAAAGCGAGGTTGTAGGTATATGTTGGGAGAAGGGGTTAACTTTCCAGGTAGGTCATACTGAGTGTGTATACAGTTCCTTTGAGCCATTTCTTCTTTTCATGGCTTCCTCCTTTTATCTAAAGTTTAACTCAGAAATTCTCTGAGATATCAATGGCTGTTCTGGAGATCCCTCCCCCGCCTCATCCACCCAATGAGATAGGTGACTTTGCAGGCTGGGTGGACAAATGGAAATATACCAGAGAAAAAATGGCACACTAGGCTGTAATGTCTCAAGTAAGAGGCTTACTTTCAACCTAATAATAGTATATTACTGTTCATAATATATAATATATATTTAGGTAAGTTATTATGTTATAAAAATATACAATCAAATCTTGTAAGAATTTTGAAATGACAGATGCCTGATAACTCTTTATGTAAACAGACTATAATAAAACTAGTTACTGGCTAAGTTCCATCAATTTTTTTTAATTCTCTTTGATTTTTTCTCCTGGTCTTCTGTTATCCTTTCTGCAGGTCGCTTCTTCAGCCCCTTCATTTTCCTGGTTTGTAATTTGCTTAGATCTTGCTTCTGCATATGAATCCTTCCATAAGTTGTACCAAAAGTATCATGGGAGACATTTTTCTTCTTTTTTGGCTATAAAATAGAATATATATATTTAACGGTCTCTGCTATTATGAACTGGTAAAAAAAAAGTCTAATGTACAAGTACGTTACTAATAATTTCCATTAGTGAGCACCCCTTCAATGTTACAGCCCATAGTCCTATCAACCTTTCTTCTCAAATTCAAGTGTACATAGAAATTAATTGCGGATCTTGTTAAAATGCAGATCCTAATTCAGTAGGTCTAAGGTGGGACCTGAGATTCACTATTTCTAATCCCCAAGTAAATTGTCAGACCCCACACTCCAATAGACTACACTAACCTTTTTAACGTGCACTAAGAGAATTTCCTGTGTTTAAAGAATCGTGACTATCATATCTTTATTGGCATTCCAGAGATGCCATCTCTACTGGTCTTTTAAAACCATTCAAAAGTCAAAACATTTTTTACGCAAGTGTGGGCTACACATCCTGTGCTCTAAATCCCCAGTCTTCACAATGTCCAAAACAATTTTTCCTTTTGCTGAAAACGGGGAGCAGCCTTGGCTACCAGAAAGTTCTCAGCCACACTTGATCCTGGTTTCTGCAACTCTTTCATTATCCTTTGTGGTTCGCTTATTTGCTTCCTCCTTTTCTTGTCTCTGAAAGTCTGATTTTATCTATTATATTGATCTCTTTAGTATGTCCTTTAATGGATGCCACAAGTCCTTTTTGGAAAGAGTAGAATAAACAATCCACAAGTCATGTACCTTGAGGGCTTTTGGCATTTTCATGGATAACTTATAAAGGTCATCTGAAGCCAGATGTGTCCTCCTCAGCACCAGATCTAATGAGGGTCCCATCTCTTCCAATTCAATCCGTGGTGTTCTGCAACCAGATTTCTTCAACAGCAGCCTTCGTGAAATAAGAAAAAAATGTTGCTCTGACTTTGATAAACATCCTATTCCCACCCAATATTTTTGTCCAAGAGAATTACAGTTCCACAAAATGATATAAAATCTTTAGAAAGGCTAAGCATCTTAACTACTTTACACATTTAGGCCAAGTGTATTATTTGATTCACAGTTTAAAAAATAAAAAACTATACAATATTGTTGAGAAACAGCAAGTGAGATAGACAATTCTTCTAAGAAATGGAATCTTTTGATCTGACTTCATTTTACATTACGATTTACATAAGCATGAAAATAATTTTAATTGGATCTTTAAAACATTATGTTTAATGTTTCTCTAAGACCTATTTAGAATCAACTTTTCTCCACAGCACAGACATTTCCTGATCTCTATAGATTGGAATGAACTTTAAAATCTTAATATAACTACAACTTTCTGGATACCATATGTCCAAATAGCTCTGGATCTGGAAACATATGAGGGATATAGTGGGGAGGAGGGGAGACCAGCAAATTCTTTTTATGAGTGATACCACAAAAACAGCTGAAAGACTTGAAGATTATCCAAGCTGACTCAATTTGTTACAGTGGCCAGATCTCCATATGGAAAAACAGAAGTGACTGAGTAACAATGTTTATATAAGATCAGCTTTTTCACACAAAAGCTGGAGTGTACGAGAGGCAACAGGTGATACGAAAGAAGAAAAAAGAAAAGGAAAGCACAGTAAGGAATGCCCAGGAGAGCAGCAAACACCAGGAAGTGCGTGTGCAAATGCTCATTACCAGCCCTTCGGGCCTTAAGTGCGTCACATGCAGATGGCCAACCAATACAGTCCACCCACGGGAGGTGCATTTACTGGCCACAGGAAAAGTCACAGTGATAAATATGCTGTATAAGACACAGTAATTTATACCCAATTGAACAAGTCAAAAAAGAAAAATATCCCACCAGCCTAGAATACATAAAGAGCTGAAGTGTTAAAACAAAAAAAAGCTATATGAACATTAAATGATAAATAGATAAATGAATATTAGTATGGGACTTGAAGGGAGCAAGCACAGGGGAAAAGAGCCTAAAAGAGAGTCCTTAGGCAGCCATTCTCTTCATATGGTTCCAGGAGAGAGGAACACCTGTCTCAGGCTCACTAAGGGGAAAATATTTTTAGAAGCCAAAGTTGGCTGGTTCAGGGCATCTTCCCAAAGAGCTAATTCCAAGCATACAGGAGCAGTGATCATTTGACTGTCACATCACACATACTTCTGCATTTGCATCCACATTTTCAGTACCTCCAAATAAACCATATTTGTAATGCTGAACTCATATCAAGATTAGTATCTTGATGAACGTCAAGAAAAAAAGGGTTTAATCCACAACTTAAGAAACCAGAGATATTACATATAAAATTTCGATTAAAAAGTTTTCTACTGTTGCCCTGCCAGTGTAGCTCAGTTGGTTGGGTGTCATCCCGTGTACCAAAAGGCTGCTGGTTGGATTCTTGGTCAGGGCACGTGCCTGTGTTGCAGGCTCAATCCCCGGTTGGGGGTGTGCAGGAGGCAGCCAATCGATTTTTTTTTTCTGTCTCTCTCCCCCTCTCCCTTCCTCTCTAATTAAAAAATCAATTAAAAAAATTTTTGTTAAGTTTTCTATTGCTTAAAATGCTCATTTTCAAGTAAGTGGAAAACCTGTCGATTCAGGAAAGTTCATAGCATGCCTAATGGATTCAGATCACCCGAGTACCACTATATGTGGCAAAACTGCTTTAAAGCACCTTTTTATTTATAGAAGTGTCCTCCTAACAAAGTAATTTTTAATGGTATATAAAATTGTTTCCAAATAACTACATATGTTGCTATTTATCAAAGAACTAAGTTACAGTGCCATCCTGTCTATGTAAATGACCTAATCTTAATCACTTCACTGAGCATGCTTACTGCCAGAAACAGAAGGAAATGCTCTCTAGTTTTCAGTTCCCTGCACGTGGTTTCTGATGATAGGACTTATCATCCTTTCTCTTTATTAAGCTTTTAATAGTGATATACATATATTTAAGTATATCTTTATTGATTTCAGAGAGAGAAAGGGAGAGGGGGAGATAGAAACATCCATGATTAGAGTCACTGATCGGCTGCCTCCTGCACACACCCGACTGGGGATCAAGCCCACAAACCCAGACATATGCCCTTACCGGGAATCAAACCTCAATCTCCTGGATCATAGGTCAATGCTCAACCGCCCAGCCACGCCACCCCAACTAATAGTTATATTTAGAATCTAAAATTATCACTTGTTAATCCTTTAAAAAACAACCTTACTCTTTTTCACAGGAAATGTATTAACAGAGGATTTATAAATGATTTTTGTGATCACACTAAGAAAAACAAAGACTATCGTTGACTCATTAAAAACAAGCAAAATTAAAACCATTTCCTTCACCTTCGCCCCATTATACACACTGCAACTTTTTTTTAAAGATACTGTAACCTCCCCAATCCAAGTTTTCATTTTCCATGGTTTCAGTTAGCCGTGGTCAACAGTGGTTCAAAAACAGAAAATAGAAAATTCCAGAAATAAACTATTCAGAAGTTTTAAACTGCACATTGCTCTAAGTAGCCTCCTGAAAGTTCACACCATCCTGCCCTGTCAGGCCCAGGACATCAGTCGTCCCTTTGCCCAGCATCCCCATGCCGTACAAGCTTCCTGACCGTCACGGAGCAGCCACTGCTCCTGTATGCTTAGAATTACCTTTGGGAAGATGCCCTGAACCGTCAAGGTATTGCAGTGCTTGTGTTCCAGTTACCCTTATTTTACTTAATAATGGCCCCAAAGTACAAGAGTAGTGATACTAACAGGCCAGATATGCCAAAGAAGCCATAAAGTGCTTCCTTTAAGGGAAAAGGTGAAAGCTCTCAATTCAATAGAAGGAAAAAAATCATATACTGAGGTTGCTCAGATCTATGGTAAGAATGAATCTTCTATCCATGAAATTACAAAGGAAAAAAACACCTATGCTGTCTTACCTCAAACTGCTAAGGTTAAGGCCATAGTGCTTGATAAGTGCTTAGTTAAGACTGAAAGAGATATTAAGTTGGTGGGTGGAAGACATGAAGAGAACACGTGTTCTGAATGACAGCAATGTGCTGCACCAGAAAACATCGAGCCTATCCGGGGACTTCAGCAAGGGATCTCCTAAAACAAGTGACTAAGTCATTTCCTGCAAGTAAGGGACGGTTATAGATTCAGGAATAGGTTTGGACCGAAAATATTTCAATTCCAGACTTTCCTATCTCCAACCAAATATCTATTGCCCAGAACTTTTACATCGTATGCATCTCCATCTCAGATACTAACCTCAAGCTTTCTTTTCCCTATAAGCTCTAAATCAAAAGTGACATTCAGTTCTGCAAGACCATATGGTACGAGATACAGGGACACAAAGACAAAGAGAACTCAGTTCCTTCCCTCTCAAATGGGCTCCAGCTATTAGACATGTTAATTTCCATATACTGTTAAATATTATTTGCATACTTCTTGAGAAAGACTGGCATTACCACTCTTATTCAAACTGTAATTTCCTTCTTTTCCTTCTTTGCATATCCCTCTCTTCTGCTGAGATTCTGTTCTCATTACTTAAACCCCTTGCCTAGTAGGGCATGTCTGCTTGTAAAGCTATGCTAACACTTCATGCTTTGCTTATTTCTCCCCACAAAACCTAACCAATGCCATTGCAAAGGCACACGTGGAAGTTACTAAAGATTTTCATATTAATGGCTCTGGACCCATATCAAATAAAGTCTTCTAAGAAATACAAACTGCCAGTCACATAAAAGGAAATAACTGTTATAGGATATACAGGAAGAGGTCAGTAGCACTGATCTATTTCCCCAGTAGGTCAGGTCAAGGGTTATAGTAATATAATTTCATGTTCAGAATTCCTTTCATCCAAGCTCAAAACCATTTTTATAAGCCTTACTAACCTTCACAAATAATGTGTATGAATATTACCTGTTACTTTTATCAATTGCTTAAGATCTGACCCACAGTAAAAGAGGTCAAGGCTCTGGACTAGTAGCTCAGTTGGTTAGAGGGTCATCCTTGAAGGGGGACAGGACCAAGTACAGCCTGCACAATGTCACAGGAGCCACACTGTCAGACACTGTGATTTAGACCCAACGGAAGACAGAGAACCCAATTCTAAGTCTGTCATAGTCCCACCTCTACCTGCGCCCTCTTTCCCTCTTATAAAGGACCAATCTCAGAGGGACCTCAAAATTACCCAAATGGTATTGCTACATTTGCAAATGAAAGACAGAGGCCCTGAGAAGTGACCTGCCCACATCATGTGGCTGAGCTCCAGCCCAGAGAGACAGGCCACTAACCTCAGAGGTGATGCTCATTCCTGGGAACAACTCTTTCTTCCCCTCCAAGAGTCACACGGCCTCTGGAGACTAAGCTAATCCATATACTCAGTCATTTTCCCAGTAGCAGTTAGTTCTCAATTATACTGTCCATTTTCTATTTCAAATCAATAGCTAACAGGCCTTATAGGGCATATATGAAACACCTGGAATTAAAATTTTACACTATGATTTTTACTCTCTGATTTTTAAAATTAAAATTTTTTTTTCCATTATAGGAGCTGCCATGCTAACCTAATAGTGATTCCACGAATTATATTTTTCTTGAAGTAAATGGGTACGTGGATGTGTACAGTTACATTGCTAATTTATCCTTGTTCAGAAGTCTGATTTCTTAATTCTTTTTTAATTTTTTCCCTGTGCTTCTTTTTTTCTTTACAAATTAATCTTTCTTTTCACTAAATACAAGTTCTGACACTTTCTTTGAAACTGTTCACTATGAGAGAGTTTTTAAGGTATTATTAGTCATTTCATCTGTATCCTCATGGTCTTCTTGTTTAACAAAAAATTATGTCAGTGATTATTCATCTTTTATTTCTTGTTCTCTAAATAGGAGATACCAACTTTATAATAAAATATACTCTTAAAAGCCTCAAAATCAAGTTGGAAAATTCAAACAACAGATTTAAAGGGTTTTCAAGTTTAACAAGCCAAAAATGATTATAAAATCCTTGATTATATCTTGTAGTCATGTGGATATTTTATTGCATTTCCTTCTATTATTACTGAAAGGAGAGGAAAATAGAAAAACACAAGTGGTGGTATTAGTCATATGGTAAGAAGAACTGAGTATCTCTGACTCAATACAGTTGAGACAAAGATGGAAATTATTGACAGAAGAGACGAATATTCAGTTTCATTTGGATGCTTACTGGACATAAGCTGGTCAATCACGTATCAACACTGAGGCTTCTAGGCTGCCCTGCCATGCCACAGCGCAAAGTAACCATCAGCCTGAATCTGATGTTCAAAGGCAGGCAGTTTGTCAAAGTCAATGTACTCTCTAGGCTCTATCAACTCAAAAGGTACAACTGTAGCATGTCATCAAGCATTTTAATAAAAACAAAATCAGCTTGTTAAGATTTATACTGTGGTGGGGGTGGGGCAGAAGGTCTACACTGAAGAAAGAGGGCAAATGAATCTAGGCACTGAGTCTCATTCCTTTCAGACTCCATTTTTTTAGACTCAGGGTTTTAAGATTTGCTTTGGCTGGTGTAGGTCTTGTGGCTTGGTGCTCTAAATCTAGTCAAGAAAAATAAGGACACTGCATAAAAGTAGGGAGGGTCAAGACTGCATTAGTGTTCTAAGCTCAGAGGGAGTGCAGCGCTAGGTGCTCCAGGGACCTGGAAAAGTAGGGTTTCAGACAGAAGTGAGCAGGGGAATGAAAAACTTGAGGACCAGCACAGAATAGCCACTGCTATTCTGCAAACTTTCCAAACAAACTTTTGGCCCAAAATCAATTCTAAGTTTGAGCTCTATAAAACAGTCACACTAAAATACTAACCATGGGGATTAATAGAAACATGCTAAGAAATGCACTTACTTATAGCTTCGAAAGTAAATCTTCCCATTCAGTGCAGTGAAGTGAAGGACACAGTCTAAACCGGCCAGGCGGATATTTGAAACTGTGGGGCCTCTGAAAAAATCTAAAAGCACACATTAAATTGTTTAAAAAAAAAGACTAACATGCTTTTAAAATTCAGTTATAAACAGCTGCATTCTAAATGCTCTGGTTTGTACCAATACTTATCTAAAAAGATAAGACAGATAGCATAAAACTAATCCCTGAAAACTGTCTGATTGTTCATCCCACCCCTCTACTAATCCCAACTATTTCTCTGTTTAGTTTATTAAGCCATTTTAATTTTTCAGTTTTGAAGTTCTTCCTCTAAACCAATGCTCAGCACAGAAGTGTCATATTTACCATAGATGTTAACTACCATGACGTAGAATTTTAACCTATAAGACAGGTAGGTTAAGATGACAAATTTCTATAAAAGTGGCTGTTAAAACACTGGCTATTAAATGAGGGTTTGTTTTATGGCAGAGGCCAACAAGCAAGAAAAGTCTAACAAGAAGTTTCAATTATATGAACAAAGGATAAAAAAACTAAATTGTTAAAGGCAGAAAAGAACCAACATCAGTGATTACGCTTTTCCCCCCCAAAGATTGATAATCATACCACTGGTGGCACATGAGATGATTTTAAATGATATACAAGCAATATAATTTACTATATTATTTATTTTATCATATACTATTTTTAATTCATTGTAGGAACATAAACTTCCCTTTTAAAAAGGAAACCACTCTTATTCAACACAGACTGGAAGTCCTAGCCACAGCGATTAGACAAGAAGAAAACATAAAAGGCATCCAAATTAGAAAGGAGAAAATAAAACGGTCATTATTTGCAGAAAACATGATATTATACATAGAAAATCCTAAAGACACCACCAAAAAACTATTAGATTTAATAAATGAATTCAGCAAGGTAGCAAGATACAAAATCAACACCCCAAAATCGATGGCATTTTTATACACCAATAATGTACTCTCAGAAAGAGAAACTAAAAAAAAATCCCATTTACCATTGCAACTAAAAAAATAAGATACCTAGGAACAAACTTAACCAAAGATACAACAGACCTGTACTTGGAAAACTACAGTACACTAAAAAAAGAAATAGAGGAAGATATAAACAAATGGGGAAATATACCATGTTCATGGATTGGAAGAATTAACACCATTAAAATGTCCATACTATCCAAAACAATCTATAAATTCAATGCAATCCCTATTAAAATACCAACAGCATATTTCACAGATCTAGAACAAACACTTCAAAAATTTATATGGAACCAAAAAACACCCCAAATAGCCATGGCAGTCTTGAGAAAAGAACAAAGTTGGAGGGATCACAATACCAGATATCAAGTTATACTACAAAGCCAACGTAATCAAAACAGCCTGGTACTGGCACAAGAACAGACATACAGAGCAGTGGAACAGAACAGAGAACCCAAGAATTGACAGACGCCATTATGGTCAATATTAATTGACAAAGGAGGCAAGAACATACAGTGGAGTAAAGACAGTCTCTTCAATAAATTGTGGTGGGAAAATTGGACAGGTACATGGGAAAAAATGAAACTAGACCACTAACTTACACCATACAAAACTAAACTCAAAATGAATAAAGACTTAAATGTAAGACATGAAACTATAAAAATCCTAGAAAATGTAGGCAGCAAAATCTGACATCTCTCATAGTAATATGTTTGCTGACACATCTCCTAGGGCAGGAGAAACAAAGGAGAAAATAAACAAATGAGACTATATCAAAATAAAAAGCTTCTGCACAGCAAAATAAACCATCAACAAAACAAAAAGGGAGCCCACTGTATGGGAGAACATATTTGCCAATGACACATCTGATAAAGGGTTAATATCCAAAATATATAAGGAACTCATACAACTTAACAAAAGGAAGACAACCCAATTAAAAAGTGGGTAAAGGACCTAAATAGACACTTCTCCAAAGAGGACATACAGATGGCTGTAGATGGCTAAGAAACATATGAAAAAATGCTCAACGTAGCTAATCATCAGAGAGATGCAAATTAAAACCACAATGAGGTATCACTTCACACCTGTCAGAATGGCAACCATCAACAAATCAAGAAATGACAAGTGCTGGCAAGGGTGTGGACAAAAGGGAACCCTAATATACTGCTGGTGGGAATGCAGACTGGTGTGGCCACTATGGAAAAGCAATATGGAGTTTCCTTAAAAAATGAAAAGTTAACCTGCCATTTAACCTAGTGATCCCACTTCTAGGAATATATCCTGAGAAACCTGAAACACCAATCACAAAGAACTTATGCCCTCCATGTTCATAGCACAATTTACAATAGCCAAGATCTGGAAACAGTCCAAGTGCCCATCAGTAGATGAGCAGATAAAAAAGCTGTGGCACATTTACACCATGGAATACTATGCAGCTATAAAAAAGAAGGATCATTTATCCTTTGGCACAACAAGGAGGGAATTGGAGAATATTATGCTAAATGAAATAAGCCAGTCGAGAAAGACAAATACCACATGATCTTGCTTATATGTGGAATGTAATAAACAAAATGAACTGATGAACCAAATGGACCCAGAGACATAGAGCATGGAACAGACTGGGGGACCTCAGAGGGAAGGTGGGGAGGGGAGAATGGGTAGGAAGAGATTAACCGAAGAACTTATATGTTTATAAGCATAACCCATGGACACAGACATTGGCATGGGGATGCCTGGGGGTGGGTGCGGGTGGAGGGGATCAATGGGGGCAAAAAGGGGACATCTGTAATATTTTCAACAATATTTCAACAATAAAGATAAGAGAAAAAAAACTGTAATATTTTCTCTAAGTTACAAGTCTAAGGGAAACTAGAAATGCTACTGGCAAAAAAAAAAAAAGGGGGGGGTAATTTAAAGAAAAATCCCCAGTGAACAATACTATGAGTACTAACTACATGGACTTTGCTAAAGCTATGAAGGCAGCACATGAATGAAAGAAGTCTGGAAAACAGCAATCAAGATTGGTCCCTACATTTTACTGCTAAAAGGATTAAACCCCAAGGAGGATAAATGGAAATACACCGATAACATTTAATAAGAAAAATGTATACATAAGTTTACCCAACTTAATTCCTTAGGAAGAGCTGCCCCGAGGCAAGTGACGCAGTAAACAGGAAATCTCATTCTGTCCCAATCTGTAGCCACCCAGCATTTTTCTTCCCTCTTCCCATTAGCTCATAAGATAAGGCTTATCTCCATGTGCATGGACATATATATCTTTTTTGTTTGCTTTTCCTTTCTTGTGGTTAACTGAAAGAAAATCACAGCACTTAATATGCATGCACATGTATACACCACCCTTCCCTACTACACCAAACAAAAATCCCTCAGGAATATTTTTATAAACCAAGTACATACTTTTTCAAGGTATTTGATTTAAATTTTCATCATAATTTATGAATAGCTTTTCCATGATTTTGCCAAAACCTGACTATTCTGCAGTGGTCAAGTTACTAAAGCCCCACTCCTTGTTGTGGAGGCATTACTGAAGCCATAGTTATTCTAGGAACCAAGATATGTACATTTCAGTCTCTGCTAAAATAGCTTTTGTAATGCAAAACTTGCAGGCATATGTTTTTTCCATAGCTTTTTAAAAAAAATTTTTTTTTTAATGGTTTTGCCTGGCCGGGCGTGGCTCAGTAGCTGAGTGTCAACCTAGGATCCAGGCGATCGGGGTTCAATTCCCGGTCAGGGCACATGCCCAGGTTGCGGGCTCGATCCCCAGTCAGGGGGGTGCAGGAGGCAGCCAAACAATGACTCTCTCATCATTGATGTTTCTATCTCTCGCTCCCTTTCCTTTCCTCTCTCTGAAATCAATAAAGATATATTTTTTTAAAAATCTTTAAAATTGGTTTTAAAGAAAGGAGGAGAGGAAGAGAGAAACATCGATCTTCTGCCTCCTGCATGCCCCCTACGGGGCATCGAGCCTGCAACCCTGGCATGTGTCCTGACAGGGAAATGAACCAGCAACCTCCCAGTACAGTGGACTACGGTCAACCAACTGACCCACTGAGGCCAGCGCTACTTTTCCCATAAGCTTTTAAGAATGAAAAGAAAAAAAAGAGAAATGAAAGTAGAAAGTTTTAAGAACATTGACTCTTACACACCACATACAAAAATTAATTCAAAATGGATCATAAACCTAAATGTAAATCTAAAACTAATAAGACTTCAAAAAAAAAATATAAGAAGAATCTTTGCAATCTTAGGATAAGCAAAGGTTTCTTAAATAAAACACAGTAAGAACATATCAGTAGAGAAAAAAATGTCTCAAAGAGATGTCCCAAAAAATTAAATAATTCTGCTCTTTGAAAGATATTGTTAAAACAAAAAGGCTGGGAGAAAATATTCAAAGATTATATATCACACATAGAAGGACAAAGGATTTCTCTCTCTCTTTTCCTCTCTCTCACACACACACAAGCGTGCACACATACACACCCCTGCCTTATTACTCAATAATAATAAGACTAAACACAGAACTAAAAAAATTCTGGCAAAGATTTGAATAGACACTTCACCAAAGATATATGAATGGCCAATAAGCACATGAAAAGATGTCAAACATCATTAGTCATTAGAAAATACAAATTAAAACTGCAAGAATACCAATACTTTATTTTGTAGATCTGGCTTTGGGAACACATTATTATCAGTATACAACACACATTAGAATAACTAAAATGAAAAGGAATGGTCTACCAAGCATTGGCAAGAAGTCAGAGTAACTGGAGCTCTCATACACTGTTAGTGGGAATGTAAAATGGGACCACCTCATTGGAAAGCAATTTGGCGGTGTCTTAAAATGTTAGACATACACTATTCAAATGACTCTACCATTCTATTCCTAGATATTTACCCAATAGAAATGAAAACATATGCCCTTACAGAAATTTGTATATAAATATTCATAGCAGCCCTACTGATAATAGTCAAAAGCTGGAATCAACCTAAATGTCTATTGGCTGATGAAGGAATAAATAAATTATGGACTAGCTATAAATGGAATACTGCTTGGCAATAAAAAGAAATGACTACTGATACACACAACAACACAGATGAATCTAAAAAAAATTAGGTGAAGAAGCCAGAAAAGTACACACTATACAATTCCATTTACCTAAAATTCTAGAAAATGCAAACTAACCTATAATTAGCACAGAAAGCACAACAGTGTTCGCTTAGAATAGAGAAAAAGGATGGACTGCAACCCTGGCCGGGTGGCTCAGCTGGTTGGAGTGTCACCCCATACACCAAAAGGTCGTGGGTTTGATTCCTGGTCAAGGCAACCAAACATTTCTCTCTCTCCTCTCTCTCTAAAATCAGTATTAAAAAAAACAAAAACATATCCTCGGGTAAGGAAAGAAAAAAGATGGATTGCAAAGTGTTGCATCCAACAAGGAACTGGTCCACACCAAGGTCCTAGTAAAGAACTGTACAGCCCTGGCTGGTGTAGCTCAGTGGATAGTGCTGGCACGAGCACCGCAGGGTCTTGAGTTTGATTCCTGCTCATGGCCACATGCCTGGGTTGCAGGTTCAATCCCTGCCCCTAGTCCGGGCATGTGCAGGAGGCAACCAACCAACCAACCAATCAATCTCTCCCTCCCCGCCCTTCCACTTTCTCGAAAAAAAAATAAAAAGAAAAAAAAATAAATGGAAAAAATACCCTCAAGTGAGGATTAACAAATACTAACAATAAAATAAAAGGAGGAGTTTTCACTGGCTGAACTCCAAGGCCAAAAAAAAAAATAAAACAATTACTGTATTGTGCTCATTGACAGCACATGGTACTAACGGTGGTACGAGTCCCACCAGGCCACAAGAAGGGGGCCAAGCTGGCTCCTGAGGAGGAAAAGATTTTAAACAAACAAACAAAAAATAATCAAAGAAAATTCAGAAGAAATGTGATGAAAGAAAAAAGAATAATCAGCACTCTTCTACAGGAGTAGTTCCAGCAGGGCAAGTTTCTGGCATGCATCGCTCCAAGATGAGGCCAATACGGCTGAGCAAGTGGCTACATGCTTGAGGACAAGAAGCTGGAGTTCTAGCTGAGGAAAATCAAGGCCCAGAAAGGCAAATAAATCCCTCTCCCTCCTATCTTAGCTCATGCAATAAACGTGTTTATTGTTAAAAAGAAAAATTAGGATGGCTGAACCTAAAAATAGGTATTTACTGGTTTTTGGTAAAGAAAGTAGGACCCACTAAAATTAACCACAAATCTATATAATATTTAAGAAAGCAAAACAGAAATAAAATCCAGGATGAACAAAATGGGTACCTGCCGTGAAAATACTGAAGAAGTTAACTTTTCTTTGTGGGGGGAGAGAGAGAGAGAGAGAGAGAGAGACACACACACACACACACACACACACACACACACACACACCCCCCACTCCCCCCCTAGAAGGAAGAAAGCCTTTGATAAAATTCTCTTTCCCTACTGCTCTACTTTATTTCGTTTGAACACAAAACATAAGCCAGAAGTCTGCAGCCACCTTACCTCATATTTGTATTAAAAATTCAATTTCCCTTGGTACCCAACAATCTCACTCCATTCCTCTACCTTTCTTTCTTCTTTCCCTAGATCCCTTTATTGTTTCACTCCCTCCCTTCATCACTGAAATATATGGATATTCCTGCCACCTAGTGGAAGCACAAAATAAGAGCAAGTTTTTATAAAAAGTATTTAAACAAAAGCAAACAAAGCATTCTCCCTTATAACAAATTATAAGTACTACCCTCACTGACAATAGTTAGAAGAACTAGGGGAATAAAGGGCAGGAAATCTGGGCCAATGCAGTACAAGTAATAGTAATCTTAGCTTAGCTAGAAAAACACCCTTGATATTTTTGGGTGCATAATATTAAAGGAAAGAAATGTTGGTCATTGTCTTTCATATATGATTTTTTTTAAATTCATGAAAAATAAAGGGAAGAACCTATAGCAAAGACTCTGCAGGGCTCTTGTTCACCACCACATGATGGATAGTAGAGGCAGAAAAGTTTTGGGTTTTGATTCTGGCTCACCTACTTAATAGCTCTTAACCTCTCTGAGCCTCCATTTTCCCACCTGTGAAATGGAATGTCGCCAACATCAGGAGCTTTAGAAAGGATTAAATAGGTTATAGTGGTACTCAGTTTTCTTTTCTTTTTTTAATATATTTTTATTGATTTCAGAGAAAGGAAAGGAGAAGGAGAGAGAGAGATAGAAACATCAATGATGAGAGAGTCATTGATCGGCTGCCTAGCCCGCAACCCGGGCATGTGCCCTGACTGGGAATCAAACCCCAATCGCCTGGATCCTAGGTCGATGCTCAACCGCAGAGCCACACGCAGCCAGGCGGTACTCAGTTTTCTGAGAAGTCATTTAGTAATAAGAGAAATGAGAAGTTCTGAAAATTGTAAACCCAGCACTAAGACCATAAATAATCCCAATAAGAAAAACTGAAAGTGGTATGTCTGTCCACAAACCTTTTCTAGTCAACTCAGAACTGTAAAGAGCATGTATACAATTTATTTATAATATATACACCACCAACTTTTCAAAAGTGATCTAAGGCCAAGTATATAAAAATCCAAAAGGGCAACCAAAAAAGTCAATGGCTTAGCTTGCAAGCTTGTAAGAACGATGCAAGAGAAGTTCAAATGAAATAAGTTTAAACTTGAGATAATGCTGAGTATCAGAAGTGTTTGTAGCTCTAGGTACAAACTAAATTTCTTTCCAGAGTTAGAAAAGAGCTGCAGATGTGATTGCAGAATATTAACTATTAGTAACAGTTAAGAAATCACGGAGAACAATTATGCCAGCTTTTCAAAAAAAGGAAGAAAAAGTGGTTCAAAACTGGTAAAATTAATGTCAATCCCAGACGATGGCAATAACTATACACTGGATTTTAAGAAGGTGATTTGTGAACACATAGGAAAGAATGTGGTCGTTACACAGAGTGTTAGGAACTAGCATATCTCACTAAGAATAAGTCATCTATGAAACAATATTACAAGGTTATTGTGAGAATGAAGCAAAATATATAACATACCTAGCATACACTTGGCACTTAAGATAACAATAATTAAATAAAAGGAGCTGGGGGGCTCACTGAGGATTTCCTGGGAAAGAAATAAAATTTGCAAGAACAGAAGCAAGCATATAAATAAGCATGAAATCAGAAAAAACAATAGGAATATGGATAACATATTTTCAATAAACCACTTTTAATGGAAAAGAAAGGAAGAAAATTGGAGGAGATCAAGAAAGCAAGTTTCAGTATGAAAAGCATCATATATCAGATTAAGAAAAACTAGTAGAGGTTTTTAATGGAAAGTGAATGATGTAATAACCACCTTGAAAATTGAACTTTTCAATTTTCTAAACTGAATGATGTCAAAAATGACAGAAGATGGGTGTGAGGGTTTTATAAAGTGTAAAATGCTATATAAATAGTTTGATACCAAAGTTCCTATAGCATCAAGAATGTAATAATGACCTATAGAGTAAAACATCCCTTTAGCTCTCCCCTGCTAGTGAGGAATAAAGAAAATAATGAAAAGAGAAGAAACCAAAAAGAAAAAGTTGTATACCTAGAGTGACATGGCAAAGCACCACCGATGACAGTCAGATTGCGTACCTGAGCTACCCTGTGCATAAGTATTAAAACACTTACCAATGAGAAGGCTTTTTAGCCTTCGGTAGTCTTCTGTTACATCAAAATCATTACCAGCAAATATTAACATGGGTTTTGTTCCCTCAGGGCATTTACTATTCTACGAAACAAAAAATGTAATTATATAATTATCAAGTCTAAATTGTTTAATTGAGGATTTAAAAAGTAGTTTAATACTGCTCAGCCGGGTGTCACTCAGCAGTTGAGCATCGGCCTAGGATCCAGGAGATCGGGGTTCGATTCCAGGTCAGGGCACATGCCCAGGTTGCGGGCTAGGCAGCCGATCAATGACTCTCTCATCATTGATGTTTCTATCTCTCTCTCTCCCCCCTCCTTTCCTCTCTCTGAAATCAATAAAGATACATTAAAAAAAAAAAAAAGTAGTTAATACTTATATGTAATGATTCATTTTCAGATTTCCTAAACTGTCCTAAAACTAGTCTATGAATGCTGATTTTAGACTTAAAACCAGAGTCGGGATTTTTAAACTTACAGATTTTTATATTAAAAATAATTTTTCATTCCACTCCTTCACGTTGCCAAATGAAAAAGTGGCCAAAGAAAGACATAAACTACCTGTTAACATTATTCTATGCAAAGAATAAAATATAAAGTTAAACTTGCTTAAAAAACAAACAAAAAACATAGCCCTCTAATAGTCAAAATAAATTTAATTTCTTTGAATTATTTGTACTGCTGTGCCTTTCCTACTGTATCACATAAACAGTATTTTTAAATGAAACATAAACTACCAACTAAACATTCACATGGGAAACAATATAATTTTATACAAGCCATAGAAAGTATGTGCTAATCCTCAGCAGGGTTGAAGCTCTTACTGGAAAAAGTATTTTGTTCAGTTCTGGATTTTCTACACCAAGAAGAATGTGATGTAAGTAATAAGAGGATTTAGATTTAAAAGCTACTGAAGTTAAAGAAAATCAAATAGAAAAAAACTCTTTAACTGAAGGATTAATTTATAAAGAAAGGTAAACAGCTGTTGTCTGAGCTTCCCAATGATTCTAATACCTCTGCTCTGACATCAATCAAGATTATCCAAATCCGGCAAAAAAAATACTTTTAAAAAAAAGAAGAAAAAAACTGGAAAAAAAACAAACATCCCCTACTGTAGGACCAAAAGCCACCTGTTGCTGCTTCCCTAGTCATCAAACCACTCTTGTTGGCATTCTCTGCTTCCAAATCCTGAAACTTAACTGTCTACTTAGGAGATGTGCCTAAGGCCTGTCTGTCTGATCAAGGGCCTAAATGGACTTTCCAGATCCAATGACTCCACTGTGCTCCATCTGTCCTAACTGGCCCTCCTACTGCTACCCCTAGGTCTACAGAGGTTATTCAAATACTAAGAGAAAGTGAGGAAACACCAACTACAACTTTGGCTTTCAAACCATCCTGGCCACAATGCATAGCAATAAAGAATATTATTTTAAGTCATGACCCAAAATACACATCATAAAAATATAATTAAACAAATTATGTGAAACAGAACTTATCATGTAGATCACTGATATTTTTCACAATGTAAAACCACTGGAACTAGAAGAAACTACAACAGAAGAGCTTTATTCCAATAGCCTGAAAGGTACTATAATTTTAAATACTATATAAATACCATGATATAGTATAATAAAAATACTATAATTANACTAGAAGAAACTACAACAGAAGAGCTTTATTCCAATAGCCTGAAAGGTACTATAATTTTAAATACTATATAAATACCATGATATAATATAATAAAAATACTATAATTACGAAGTCCTTGAACTAACCTACTTAAGTGTTATTAAAAAAAAAAAAAAACACAGAAAAATAATTCTAATAAATTATAAACTTTTCAAATAAAATATCCTAGGAAAGTGTGATATAAGTTATACTACCTAATATAACATCAACTAGCCTTAAATTTTAATCATCTCACTCATTAAGGTTTATTTTATACAGAAACCTCCCAGAAGTTTGGCCATCTTAGAAAACAGGCTCCTAGAATAATCACGCCATTTCCTGGTAACATCTAATCTAACGTTGCTTAAGAATTAACAGAGGGCCTGGCCGGGTGTGGCTCAGTGGTTGAGCATCGACCCAGGATCCAGGAGATCGGGGATCGATTCCTGGTCAGGGCACATGCCCGGGTTGCGGGCTCCATCCCCAGCTGGGGGCATGCAGGAGGCAGCTGATCAGTGACTCTCTCATCATTGATGTTTCTCTCTCTCTCTCTCCCCCTCCTTTCCTCTCTCTGAAATCAATAAAGATATGTTTAAAAAATAAAATAAAATAAATCTTATCTAAAAAAGAAGAAGAATTAACAGAGGGATGAGGCTTGGCAATAAAAGTAGGCAAGTGAAATAGGAAATACCTGGTGAAGATGTCTTGAAAATGAGGCCAAGTAAAGAGAGAATAAATATAAGGAAAAAGTAGAACAAAATATGCAATCCAGCCCTGGCTAGCATGGTAAGTGGTTAGAGCGTGAGCCTCTGGACCAAAGGGTCTTGGGTTCGATTCCCGGTCAAGGGCACATGCCTATGTTGCAGGTTCATTCCCCGGCCCCAGCTGGGGTGTGTGGGGGAGGCAACCAATTGGTGTATCTCTCTCACATAGATGTTTCTCTCTCTCTCACCCTCCTTCCCTCCCTTCCACTCTCTAAAAAAAAAAAATCAATGGAAAAAATATCCTCGGGTGAGGATTAACAAAAAACAAAAACAGAAAAACATGCAATCTAAAACAGACTAAAACCTGTAACCAAATAATGGGGTAAAAAGTGAAGGGCTGAATAACAGTCTATGCAGGGATTGCCAATGTAAGCATATACTCAGCAATTAATGAATTTTGTAGTTATGGATATGCTCCATGAGTGAAAATTCAGTCTTCAGTTTAAATGGTTATTGTTAAGAATGAGCCCTGAAAAACAATTCATGGTCCAGTTTACAAGCTGCAGTGATAGAAGTATTTCTTTGCTTTGGAAGTGAAGTGGAAAGAGTAGAGGGGTTGGCATGCAGGCAATAGTCAGTGCTCATGCCCACTAACTGGTGACCAAGCTAGCAGCAGTGGCAAAGGTAAAATGGGGACATCTGCTGGGACTTGTGCACAGCCCCAAAGAAAAACTGTAAAGAGTGATGGCTTCCCATAATAAAGCACCACTGTTTACACACGTTACAAAATGCCTTCCAAAACAGTATTTTCAATAAGCATTTTCACGTATATTATCTCAGCTGATGTTATACCTACTCAATACTTGATTGTAATTGAGGGTCCTGGAAGTAACTGACTTTATCAGGTAATAAATCATCTAAATGGCCAAGACAGGCCTCAAACCCCAGTGTTCAGCCTCTGAATCCAATCTCAGGCTCTGTTCTACACTGTACCTGAGGAAGCTGCGGCAGCTAAGTGGGGACCTGGTAAAGGCCTTTTCTCAAACCCACAGGAAGCCTGAAAGTCATGCCCTCTTCCTCTTTTTAGAGGAGGTTGGGAAAAGGAGTTATTATATATTTGTTACAATTCTTTCAACTATATCGCGAACCTCAAAGACCCATAAACTGAGAACTATTGTATTTTCCATTACAAACTTCAATATCCTTCCTTTCAAAGTCCTAATTGGTTATATAATTTACTGTATGTATGACTCTAATTCACCAACGGAATTCCTCTGGGCTTCAATCTCTAAATCTATACAAGAGGGAAAATAATTTCAGCCTTTCATAGGGTAGCTTTGAAATCTACATGAAATAATGTATTTGATGGAACAGATTAAGTCAAGAATAAGAGTTCTGAGGGAATACAGCCCAATTTGGACCCAGGAGCTGAATTAGGACAGTTCTCTTGCCTTTCTAAGACTATTTACTACTTTCTAGTTCATAATCCATTCAAACAAAAAAGACACAAAGAAGCAAGTCCTTAAGGGGAGGCCTGAGCTAGCAATTTGGTGGCTAGTAGCCAAAATATTATACAGGATCAGTTAAAGCTTCCTAGGTTTAGAACAGGGTTCACTTTGAAAATTCTAGTATTTCTGTAGTTCTATAAAATAGGTGCTGTGATAACTCAAAGGGAGAGGATAGCATTGAAACCATGGCCTAGACAAGAGTTAGTAATCACTCTGAAGTCTAACTATAAGATGACCCATATCTGTTATCTGCTATAAATATATTCCTCTCTTTAAAGTAAAGGTAAAATGAAATTGTGCTTTTATCTTAGAGCACAACAGTATAAAAACAAAGTTCTTTTTTATTTAAAGATGTCTTTATTGATTTCAGAGAGAGGGAGAGAGGGAGAGAAACATCAGGGATGAGAGTCATTGACTGGCTGCCTCCTGCATGCCCCCTGTGCCCTGAACCAGGAATAGAGCCTCCATCTCCTGGATCATAGGTCGATGCTCAACCACTGAGCCACGCCAGCCAGGCAGTTCTTTCTTATTTAAGCTACAAAACTGTATCAACACTCTTTACCACAAGATGTCACTATTGCCCAAAAGTAACTTTACAAAATGTTTCTTATTTTCATCAGTATCTTACCTTAATATCTTTTAGAGAGACAAACTTCTCAATACCTAATTCAATCATATCCAGTACATGGTAGTCATACATACGACCTAGAAGGAAAATACATTTTCTTTTAAGCATTTATTTTTCCCAAACAGCTTATCTGCAATGTTCCCACTTATCTGCAATGTTCAAAATGTTCTAATATCCGCTTCTTTTCTTTCTCCTTATACCCCTTTAACATGTCTGCTCTTCTTTAAATTTTCAACACAGGATAGAGTATTGTAATCTTGGTCCTGGAAGGGATCTTAGAGATCATTTAGCCAACCTCCCTTATTTTACAGAAGAGTAAATAAAGGCTCACAGATGGTAGGGGGTTTGCTTGCCTAAGCCATTGAGTATGCCAGACCAAGTCTCAAAACACATGAGCAAGGGGTTATTTTTTCAAATGTATCTATTAAACAGATATTTATTAGGAAAGGGTTAATGTATTCAAGTAGGAATGCTACTTTGTGTTTTTTTCCTACTCTAATACTGATTTAGGATATATGTTTTATATTAGAAAAATATCTACAACTTGAGGTAGGGTAGTATCTTTCTTTACCTTTAGACCAATAGACAAAAAATTTTATTCCAAGTCACATGGAAAAAATATTAGTCTAGAGTTTACTAGTTACTCCTGAATCCTCAACATCATCAATTAATTGTCAAAGAAGTGACTCTATAAATAAAAATACAAAAAAGTAAAGGATACTTACCTATTACTAGGTTATTTGGCCGCTTCTTATTATGGGAGCCAAACATAAATAAAGAACAATCTGACTTCTTTGAAAAGAATTCCTATAAAACCAAAGAAATTCCATTCAATCAATAAATATAAGAAACTTAAGAATTATATCTCTAAACTAAAAAAAAAAAAAAAAGTGTATCAGTTTTTTACAGTGGAAGTTAATGGAGACTTAATGAATTATGTGGGAATAAACAGATAAAAAGAACTTTATTTCTACTTTTTACTTCAAATTTTCTGACTTGGGGTTTATAGGGAAAAGATGTAAGTTCAAAACAAAAAATATGTGAAAACTATTAGGTTAATAAATAGATAGAGACCATTTATATTTTCAACTATGCAGTTATTTTGAAAGAGCAGACCAAGTATTTCATTTGCTGAACAGATGCCTTTCCTCATGGGATATTACTACGTATCATTAATCAACATGGTGTTTTTAGATGTTTATAGCTGGACTCGAGTTTACAATGTGTATGTCTACTTTTCTTTTTTCTTAATTTTATTTATCTTATTAATCTTAGAGAGAGGGAGGGGGAGAGAGAGAGAGAAAAGAGAGGGAGAGAGAAAAGAGAGGGAGAGAGAAACATCTATCAGTTGCCTCCCGAATGCACCCTGACTGGGGATCAAACCCACCAGCTTTTGGTGTATGAGATGACACTCCAACCAACTGAGCCACACCAGCCAGGGTGCATATGTCTATTTTTCTTCTTAAATTTATCTTTATTGTAGTATTACAGATGTCCCCTTTTTTTCTACCCATTGATCCCCTCCACCTCGCATCAGCCCCACCCCCAGGCTTGCAAGCAGTGAATAATAGGTACTAGTGATAGTGAAATGTAAGTTCTATAGTCATATTTTGAAAGTATAAAAGTCTTATTTCCCCTCCATTTTACATCAGAATTCTCTCACATAGGATGATTTCTAATTTTTAAAAATCATATATTAGAAGTACTAAATAAATTAGTCTGAATAATCACTTACATGCTCTCTTAAATCAAAAGAATTTCATACTTACCAATGATGTCTGATCCTCAAATGGTCTCGTAATATTTTTCCTACAAATATTTTTTAAAAGGTGAGGCTAATTTTAATAATCTTAATAAGTAATTCAACCATAACAATATATAAGTAAATATAATTCTATATTCAGATGATCAAAAAAAGAAGCTAGAAAGACATTCATTCATTCAAGTATTTATTTAGTGCCTATTATGTGCTAGGCATTGTTCTAGGAGCTAGAGATACGATAATACCATGTCAAACAAGAGCATTGCTTTTTTGATCTTACATTCTATTGGGAAAAACTAAACAATTTCAAAAAATAGTAACTGTTGTGACAAAAAATAAAATAGGGTACTGTGTCAGTGTGAAAAGTGGATGACTATTTGAGGTGAGACTTGAAAAATGAGGAGTTAGCCATGGAAAAGATTTGAGGTTAGGAGTTTTGCAGGAAGAAGGAATAGAAGCAACAAAGATTCTGAGATGGAAATAAGCTTAGACTATTCAAGAAACAGAAAGAAGGCAAGCGTCTCTGGGGCTTAGTGAGCAAAGGGATAATGGGGGTTAAAGATGTAGACACAGCCCTAGCCGGTATGGTTCAGTGGGCTGAAGGGTCCCAGGTTTGATTCCAACCAAGGGCATGTACCTGGGTTGCAGGCTTGATCCCTGGCCCTCTCAGGGCATGTGCAGGAGGCAACCAGTCGATGTGTCTCTCACATCGATGTTTCTCTCTCTCTCCCTTCCACTCTCTCTGAAAAGCAATGAAAAAAATATCCTCAGGTGAGGATTTAAAAAAAAAAAAAAATGTAGACACAACCCAGATATGTAGTACCTTTTCGGGCAAGGTTAAGGAATGACTGGACTGAAATTTCCCTTTAAAGGACTGCTCTGTCTTCTATATGAGAAGGGAATGGAGTATTGTAAGAGTGAAAGGAGTCAGTAAGAAGCTATAGCAATAACCCAGGAGAGAAAGAAAAAAATGGGGGATTGGATCGTAGTAGTAGTAGTGAAGATGGAGAAGCAGTAGGTAGAGAAATGTAGAACATGCTATCTTCCATGCAAAAGAGAGAGAAATAATATATATTTTTATTTGCTTAAATATTCATAAAGAAATTCTGATAAAATGTAAGAAACTAGTGATAGTTGTTCTGGAATAAGTGTGGTTTATATTTTCGTGTATAAGTTCTGATTTTTAATCATAAAATTTAATAAAACAGTTCATAATTTTTATAAATTTAAAGAGAAAATCGTATGTACAACATGATCTCAATTTTGTTTAAAGAATAGATGTACAGATATAAAAATAAATGGGGAGGAAATTATGTCAAAATGTACCGCGCTTATCTATGGGTGATTATTTACCCATTATCCTAATTATTAAGATAAATACATTATTACTTTTATAATCAGTAAAAAAAAAAGTATTTTGATTAATAGCTTACAGCAATTCACAAATAAGAAAATATGACCTGTTGAAAACATATGGAAATATAAGTTAAACAGAATATCATTTTCATTTCTTCTTCCTTTTTTTTTTTAAAGTATGTTTTGTTGATTTCAGAGAGAGGAAGGGTGAGGGGGAGAGAGAGAGAGAGAGAGATACACCAATGATGAGAGTCACTGATCAGCTGCCTCCTGCACCCTCCCTGCTGGGGATCGAGCCCACAACCCAAGCATGAGCCCTGACTGGGAATCAAACCACCATCTCCGGGATCATAGGCTGATGCTCAACCACTGAGTCACACTGGCCGGACTTATTTTCATTTCTTAATTTTAAAAAATAAACCAAAAGTAGGTAAAGGCCCATGAAATTTATATATTGAATTCTCCCAAAAGGGGAAACTTTTCAAAAAGCAATAATGTTAATATGCTGTATTGGACATGAAGTTGTAACCTGTAACCTCAAGTCTAGGAATCTCATATAGGAACTAATTCAAAAGGTATCTCCTTTGTGTAAGAATGGCCACTTTAGCATTATTTATAAGAACAAAAAAGTGAAAAACCCAAATTCCCCCAAATTAAGGAAAAAGGCATTAGACTGGCATTAAAAATAATACTGAGCCCTGGCCAGGTAGCTCAGTTGGTTAGAGCGTCACCGTGATAAGCCAAGGTTGTGGGTTTGATCTCCAGTGAGGGCATATACAAGAATCAATCAATGAATGTATAAATAAATGTAACAACAAACTGATGTTTCTCTCTTTCTCCCTTCATCTCACTCTCTAAAATCAATAAATAAATTTTTAAAATTAAAAAATAATAATAATACTGAAGGGACCACCATTTATAACATAACTGGAAAAGGTTTGATATAAATTGCATATATAAAACAACAGAGATAAATTTTAAATTCATTTTGCTAATGAAAAAAGACACCAGAGGCTACATGTCATATAATTCCATTTATGTGACATTCTGAAAACGGAAACACTAAGGATGTAAAACAAATCACTGGTTACAGAGGGGAGAAAGGGGAAGGACTATAACAGAGCACTGCATGAAGGAATTTTCAGGATAATGGAACTGTTTCTGTATGACTGAGTTGCAGACACAACTCAATGCATCTGCTGAAACCCACAAAATTGTACACCACAAAGAGTAAATTTTACATACATAAATTAAGATGTGGTAGAAAACCCAAAACAGAATGAAACAATAATAAACAACCCTAACTGTAGTAAAAATGAATAGCAACTGCATTGAAGGGGCTGAAAAAAAAAACACCCCAAAACCTAAGCTAAGTTAAATTGGAAAACTATATTTTGATTGGTTACTGTAAGGCTAAAGACACACACAGGAAAATTCTGTACTCTAGTTACTACACTGTTTCTTATAGGATTAGACAATCTGAAACTATGTATATACTACAATTATATGAGTAAGTAAATATATTATAAATAATGGAAGCCAGGTTTCTTACTGTCAGAAGTTACAAACAAGAAAAGGAGAAAGGCTAAAATGAAGTCTGTGGTACTGGATTGGAATTGAAAGTATCAGTATGAACACAAGGTTTTAAAATACATAGGGGGGGCAAAAGTAGGTTTACAGTTGTGAGTTTGCAAAACACAGTTCTTGTATTATTTATTAATTATTGTATTATTTTCCGTACAAACAACTGTAAACTTAATTTTGCTCCACCCTGTATATGATTTTTCAATTCTCACCAGAGGATATGTTGTTTTAAAGATTTTTGGACAGAGAGAGAAACATTGATGTGAGAGAAACACATCAATTAGTTGCCCCCTGCATACACCCCTGTACACACCACAGTAATTACTGTTGTAGACTAGATCCACAGATGGATGCTAAAATAAAAGTTTAAGAATAAGAATTATGTGCACCCAGCTGGCGTGGCCCAGTGGTTGAGCATCATCCTATGATCCAGGAGATTGAGGTTCAATTCCCAGTCCCAGCACATGCCCAGGCTTTGAGCTCGATCCCCAGTAGGGGGTGTGCAGGAGGCAGCTGAACACTGACACTCTCTCTTTCCCTCTCCCTTCCTCTCTCTGAAATCAAAACAGACATATAAAAAAAGAAAAAGGATTATTTGCATAGTCTCAAAGCATCTCCTTCAAACTTTGTAATTTACTAATTACAAAGAGAAAAGCAGTAACTTCATAGTGGAGAAACCCAGCAGACACCACTTTAACCAAGGTTAACGCCACAAGTACAAGGCATCTTGTACTCCCTGGTAAGATTTACTGAGAAAAGCCATCACTTTTGTGGTATTATTTTTTTTTCTCCCCCAATACTACGGAGAAGATATGCAGATTCAAAAAACAGAGTCACATACAGAAACAAAACATACTGGACCAAAAAAAAGAGAGACACTGTAGGCATTCGAGGAGGGAGGGGACTTTTGTGGTATTCTTGCCAAAAATGCATAACCTCAATCTATTCATGAGAACCTTAAGGCAAATCCAAAATGAGGGATATTTTACAAAATAACTGACAAGTACTCATCAAAAGTGCCAAGGTCACGAAAGACTGAAGAGCTGTCACAAACTGGAGGAAACCACGGGGACATGACAACTAAATGCAATGTGGGACCCTGGTAGAGAAAAAGGACCTTAGTGGAAAAACTGGTCCAAACCAAATTAAGTCTGTAATTTAGTTAACATTATTGTACCAATGTTAATTTCTTACTTTTGACAATTACACTACAGCTATGGAAGATGTAACATTAAGGGAAGCTGGGTGGCCCTGGAGCATGTGGCTCAGTTGGTTGAGTGTCGTACCATGCACCAAAACGTCACTGGTTTGATTCCGGGTCACGGCATCTGCCCAGGTTTCAGGCTCAATCCCCAGTAGGGGGCATACAGAAGACAGCCAATAGATGTTTCTCTCTCTCTAAAATCAATACAAACATATTTTAAAAAAGAAAGAGCGCCCAGCTGGGTATGGCTCAGTGGTTGAGTGTCGTCAACCTAGGATCGAGGCGGTCAGGGTTAGATTCCCGTTCAGGGCACATGCCAGGGTTGCAGGCTCGATCCCCAGTCAGGGGCGTGCAGGAGGCAGCTGATCAATGACTCTCTCATCATTGATGTTTCTCTCTCTTTCTCCCCCTCTCCTTTCCTCTCTCTAAAATCAATAGAGAGATATTTTTTAAAATAAAAATTAAAAAAACAGAAAGAAGCTGGGTGAAGGACATGGGAATGCTAATTTTTTGCAACTTTTCTGTAAGTCTATAATTATTTCAAAATAACATATGCTACTATTATAATGATGTAAAACTATTCACTACAAATGAAAACAGACTGGAAAGAAATTTAAAAATACAAATAGCTATATATAAGGAACTATAGTGGGGGGTTTCTGTTTTGTTTTGTGTAAATATATCTTTATTGGTTTCAGAGAGAAGAAGGGAGAGGGAGAGAGATAGAAACCTCAATGATGAGAGAGAGTCATTGATCGGCTGCCTCCTGGACGCCCCGGACTGGGGATGGAGCCGGCAACCCGAGCATGTGCCCTGACCAGGAATCGAACTGCTATCTCCTGGATCCCAGGTCGATGCTCAACCACTGAGCCATGCCCAGGCGGGCCTATAGTTGTTGTTTTCTTAAAAAAAAATTTTTCTAAATCTTTCATAGAGTGGTTGTTACTTTTACACTGTAGTAATACAATTTAAAGTACAGTAGAAGAAATCATGACTTACTTTTTATACAGAACGCCATATGGTTTTTTCAACGCATACTGTAAAAAAAAATAATTTAAAGCTTTCAAAGCAGAGGTAAAAATAAAGCATTGGAACAGTCATTACACAGGATTATTCTAGTCCCTAAATCCTATTCTGATGTCTTCTGCTTGACTACCTTTTGATCACTTATAACAACCTGCAACATAAACTTAATATTCTAATTCAGACTGGACCTTCTTAATTACAATTTTCTATGCTCTTTGAATAGTCTATCCAACTTAAATGCCTCCCTTCATTTCTTTAAATTCTACCTACTCTGTTCTTTCCAGGAAAATAATTTTAGAGTAGAAAGAAGAATAGAAGAAAACCGAAAAAATAAATCCTATCAGGAAAGGCTGATAGAATTGATATAATGTCTGGAGAAAGAGAACTGAGAAAGTCATAATAATGACAATCAGAACACTAGCTAGTTTAAACATAGCCCTTTAAAAAGTTCCTGTTAGTCAATCTCTTTTCACTTTTTTCCTACTTCTTTTCACTCATCCACTAATAATCACTTATTGCCTATATGGTCAGTACTGCTTTACCATAGGTAATAAAGATCTAAGGCATTACCTTGCATTAGAGGAAGGGGTAAATGAAGGAAAACAACGAAAAATGAGGTGAAATAATCATTCATTAACTATTAGAGCTGGCAAACAAAAGAAATTCAGCAGTAAAATCTATCATTTTAAGTACTAACACTTATGATGATCCTTGACCACATTTCCCTGCCTCAGTGGAATGGACATTACCACCTATTCTTGACAACTCAAGAGTCATCAGTATGAGTGTTAACCATTGTAATAATTTGTAATATTGTACTGTTCTTAGAGATTACTTAAATATGTAGGGTTATTGTGCTGAAAGGATTTGGGGAGGACGGGAGAAGTAACCCATTAACACAACTGACATTCAGACAGCCATAAAGGATGAGCATATACTAGACACTCAGGAATCTGAATTGACTATTGTGTTTAACAAGCACAGGGAATTTAGTCAAGTTTAAGAATCTATTCAATTATTTAGTCATTTTAACTCAAAGAATCTATCTGCTGCACTCAAGGCCTAAATATTCAACTACCTATTATATATCCCTACAGACTATGCCTTTCATTCACTGATTAAACATTTTCTGAGTATTTATTGAGCACCTACCATGTGTCAGACACTGGGCTAGACACCAGGTTACAGAAGTGCATAAAGCTTTTACCTTCACCACTGAAATCACATGTCCTAAACTGAACATATCACTTTCCCCCAAAATCTGCTCCACACGATACATTCTTTAATTGGCATTATTGCTCATCAGGCACCCAAGACAGAAAGCTGGTAAGTCATACTTCTTACTCATGCCCAAACTCTTTTACCTTCAACATCTATTTTCTCTGATCATCTCTCATTTTCATTGCCACCACAGGACTCCAGATGCTCTTTATCTGCTGACAGCAAAAACTTAGTTTCCTACATTTGCTTCAACCCTTTCTAGTCAAGCTGATTAAAAGCATCATATCTCTCACTTAAAATCTTTCAATGGTTCCACTTGAGCTTTCAGAATAAAGCTCAAACTCCATGTTATTGCCTTATCCTGCCTATTCTTCTAGTTTCATCTAACCCGCTCTTCTTTCACCATCCCAATTATCTGCAGTTCCCCAATGCATCATGCTCCTTCCTTCACACTTTGAACAAGCTTTTTCTCAGCCTTGGAAACCATTCTCTTCCCTCCCTGATCTTGCTCTAACGCTGCCTCCCATCCCACCTCATGCATGCCTCTAGCACAGCACTCAATTCACAATGTTACAATTTTTTACTTGTCTGTCTCCCTCACTAAGCTCATTGAAGGGAGAGACTGTGTTTTAAATAACTATTAATCCCCAGCACCTAACACGGTAACTGGTGTTGGTGAAGGAATATACAGTAATACCCAGTTATTTCACTTTACAAATTAGATACAGTATGTTCCTTAAATGTGAGCAAAACAAATTTTAGTAACTGAAACCAGCTGCTTTAAGGAAAACCGGTAGTCAGTGCCCTGGTAAAGCACAGAGCATCCAACCCGTGCTTTTCTCTAAGGCTAGTCATTCTTAAAGCTAGAATAACTTACCCATGTATTTATGTGTCCAGCAGCCTGATTCATACGTGCCCCTGACCGGGAATCAAACCCACGGTCCTTCGATGTGTGGGCTGATGCTCTAACTACTGAGCAACACCGCCCAGGGCTCAAAACTATTTTAAAAATGAGGATATATATACGTACCACATCTCTAAGTACTTGTGTCACTGTTGAATTTGCATTTCCCCCTTTAATAAGCATGGCATTTTTAATATTTTCACTGAGTTTCGGTTCTCTCTTCTCAAGGAATCTCTTGGCTCTTTTCGTTTTGGGCTTTCTGTTCAGAAAAATCACAATTCATAACAACTTAAAACATTTTCTTCATATTATAAAACCATAACTTGACTAATGTGCATAATCTTAAAAATCAATAGAAACATTACATAACATTTATCAGTTAGGGTTCCAACATTAAACAAAATCTCATTTTTTAAGAAGATAATTGGTAAAAAATATCATTTATTACTGCTAAGTAAGTTAATTTTATTAGCTTTTGTTTTTTTTAAAGGCTTTCCTTTTAATATTCCCAGCATTCTTTTATTACTGCTTCTATCAAACCTTTTTTTATTAAAGGGGAAAAAGAACTCAAGCGAATACTGTTGCTATTTTCTCACTTATATGTGGAATCTAAAGAACTTAATAAACTGATGAACAAAACAGATTCAGTGACATGGAAGCATGGAATAGACTGGCAAATCTCAGAGGGAAGGTGGGGGTGGATGAGTGGGTGGGGGAGGAGAGATTAACCAAAGAATTTATATGCATACATGCACAACCCAAGGACACAGACAGTAGTGCGGTGAGAGACTGGGGAGAGGGGTGAAAGGGGTCAATGGGGAGAAAAAGAGACATCTGTAATATTTTGAACAATTAGAAAAGCAGTCAAACTATACTCTGTAACCTAACACAAAGAATTGCACACCAACTGCTGATCAACTTGTGGGCAGTTGCTAAACATAAGGAGGTTAATTATTGCTTATCTTTCCTCCAAGTTTAAGACCACAATGCCTGTCCTAGCCAGTTGCTCACTGGTTAGAGTGTCTGCCCGAGGACTGAAGGGTCCAGGTTCAGTTCCAGCCAAGGGCATGTACCTCGAGTGCAGGCTCAATGCAGGAGGCAACCAATCTATGTGTCTCTTTCACATCAATGTTCCCCTCTCTCTCCCTCACCCCCTTCCACTCTCTGAAAAGCAATGGAAAAAATATCCCCGGTGAGGATAAAAAAAATAAAAGACAATGCCTGCCAGGAAGTATACACTATCCCACTTCAACATCACTGCTGAAAAAGTCACATACTGTCACCAAAGGGGAATCACTCTATTAAGGCTTAATCTTCACCAAGACCTATGAGACAAGTACAATTATAATCTTCAATTTATAGGTGAGGCAGTTGAGGCCAGGGAGGGAGTCTGCCCAAGGTCACACAGCTTATAAGTAGGCAAATCTTCAAAATGAGCTAGATTTAAAACTCATCTAGACCAATCACCCTGCAAAATATGAAGGAAAAACAAATCCATTATTCTGATTTTATAATGTGACAGAAATAGAATGTTTTTATACTTTCCTGTTCAGAAAAAGGGCTTCCCCTCTGCTTCCACTACAGTGAGATCTTGCTTTCCCAATAGTTCTCTGCCATCTACTGAAAGAATTCCTCCTCTCTTAAATAACTATTACCTTCCCTCCTTCTTCCAGGCCCATGGGCACTTCAGGAAAGAGGAAACACACACACACACCAGAATATACACACACTTTAGTCTACCGTGCATATTTTAAATATTCTCCTCCAGATAAAATGTTAAGCACATCGAGCACATATAAAGCTTCTAATCATTTAATGGTTGATAACACACACACACATTATTTATTAAACCAAACCAAGAGGTATTTAGTGTGTCTATATAACAATATAAACGCTATATGCTCTACAATGTGGATTATTACTTCTCACTAACCAGCAATGAATGCATATATGTTACATATTATAAAACATGTAACACCTTAAACATTTTATTTGCTATTTGTCCCCCAATTAGACTAGTCTTACTAATCTGTCATCTTTGCAGTCCCCACATCTAGAGGTACAGCGAATGCACTTAAGAAATCTCTAAATTGATACTAAAATACTTTGTTGTTTACATGTTAACCCAGGTAAATTGTAAGAAAACCACAGCAAACAACAGCAGGGCCTTGTAGGAGACCAACAAATGCTTTTCCAATTGATTCAAAACAGACATCACTCAAGGATAACTCATAGAAGTGTACAAGGCTGGGAGGGAAAGAAAAAGCTAATGAGCATTTTTACGCGCTGTAGCAAAGGCTTTACGCCCATTCTCTCAAATAATCCCCCCAGTTCTACGAGGTACCATTATGAACGCTATTTCACAGAGTGAGACTCGGGAAAATTAAATGGCCCCAAGTCGCAAAGCTTCAGTGGACGCCGCCGGTTTGTCATCTGGATCTGTCAGATTCCGAGGCCTGGGTTTGTAACCTGCGCCTCTCCCACCTCCCTCGCACTTCGGCAACCAGCGCCTTTCTAACTGGCTAGGATAACCTGCGCGACCTCCCCCCGCGGCTGCCACGGTGGCTGCCCCGCTCCGCGCTCCCAGCAGGCGGCACCGACCCGGGGAGACCCAGGCCGGGGCACGGACAGGCCTCCCCCCGGCTCCGAGCAGCGAGTGTACGGATGCAGAAGGGTAACCGGGGGCGCGGGGTGCAGTGGCTACATCACTCCATCCCTCCGGAGGAGCCCTTCTACCCCACGTTCCCCGCGGTTGAGTCGGCGAACTTACACAACCCGATCCAAGGCGTCCATCGCTCTCGCAACGCGAGCTGAACGAACGAACACACGTGCACCGAGCGGGTACCGCGGCGAAGCCCGTGCCCGGAACAGGCGGAACCGGAACCTGCGCGAACGTCACTTCCTGGGACCGCCGCGCCTCGGCCGCCTGGAGGCGCTAGCGGGCATTCGGGGGTGGAATCGCGTTCTGTTCCCTTGGTTACGGGTTTTCGCAGCGCCTAGGTCCCGGAAATTAAAGCTCTAAGCAACATCGCCTCTAGCAGCTTCGCGTACACACCTGTGTGTAGATCCTGAGTCACCTCTTCAGGGACCAGGTGTAATTCTTCTAAGAATACCCCAGGATGGTAAAAGGGTTGATAGGTACTCCTACAGTCACTAAAAATACCAATGTGCAATGTGCACTTTTTACCCAACTGTGAGATCAGTGAGACAGCTTATAATTACCGCAGTGTCTGGCACATTTGTGTCTATTCAAATCTTTGCCCATTTAAAAATATATATTTTTTATTGACCTTTTAGAGAGGAAGGGAGAGGGAGAAAGAGAAACACCCATGTGAGTGGAGAACGTCAATTTGCTGCCTCCTGGACGCCCCCTACCGGGGGATCGAGCATTCAATCCAGGCCTGTGCCCTGACAGGAAACCAACCAGCAACCTCTAGATGCAGACGCCCAACCAATTGAGCCACACTGGCCAGGGCTCCATCCAATTACTTTTAATCTGTGTGTCTGTATATATAACGTGGGTTTCTTGCCCTGACCTGTGTGACTCAGCTGGTTGGACCATACACTGAGTGGTCATGGGTTCTAGTCCCCGTTCAGGGCACATACCCAGGTTTTGGGTTTGATCCCTGGTCAGGATACATTCGCGACCAATATTCCTCCCTCACACTGATGTCTCTCTGCCCTCTCTCTTCCTCTCTCACAAAAATAAAAGTATATCCTCAGGTGAGGATTAAAAAATAAATAGCCCGCCGGTGGGGCTCAGTGGTTGAGCGTGGACCCACGAACCAAGAGGTCAGAGTTCCACGACGCGTCAGGGCGCATGCCCGGTTCGGGCTCCATCCCCAGGAGGGGCCTGCAGGAGGCAGCCCACCCATGTTTCTCTCTCACGGACGTTTTTCTCTCTCTATGCCTCTCCCTTCCTTTCTCTCTAAAATCAATAAAAACATATGTTTTAAAAAATAAATAATGCGGGTTTCTTGTAGATAACAGTTGGGTCTTGTTTCTTGATCCACTCCGACAATCTCTGTGTTTTGATTAGTGTAATTAGACCACTGCCCTTCAAAGTGATTTTTTTATATAGTTGAATTAATATCGACCACATCTATTTGTTTTCTATATGTTGCCCGCGTTCTTTCTTCTCTTCCAATCTTCTGCTGCCTTTTGCGGTTTAATTGAACATATGATTCCATTTCCTCTTCTTTTTAGCATATTTGGTTACACTTTTTAAAAATATATCTTTATTGATTTCAGAGAGGAAGGGAGAGAGAGCGCGAGCCGGAGGGTCCCTGACGCGCAGCCTCCGCAGGCCCCGCGCCAGAATCCAACCGCCTCTCCCGGTCCCGCCTCCACGATGCTCGGCCGCTGAGCCACGCCAGCCGGGCTGGCTTATACTTCTTAAACACTTTTTTAGAGGTTGCCTTTTACAGCACGGAGGCCCAGGGAAAGGCCCCCCAAACTGAAAATGTACCGCCATAAGCCGAGGGCAGTGGCAGCCTGGGGAAAGAGGGTTACTCCGCGTGGTAACTGGGGGAGGCGGGCGAGGCACATTGACAAACGCGCTGCATTTTGGGAAGGTGCTGGACAAAATGGATCCAAAACGCGCTGCCTGGCAAGTGCGGCATAGGATGAAAGCGGGGAGGAGAGCCACGGGCACTAGTGCAGGAGTGCCAACAGGTACAAGAAACGACAGGCCTGACCGGGCCAAGACGTGGGCCTGTGCCGGCAGCCAGCAGACCGAGGGGCGGAGGCGGGCGGGTGCCCGTGGCGGGCGGCAGTTCCCC